GAGGAGGAGGAGGAGGAGGAGGAGGAGATTGGATTTATACTCCACCTTTCACTACCCAAAGGAGTCTCAGAGCGGTTTACAAACTCCTTTCCCTTCCCCCGCAAACAGACACCCTGTGAGGTAGGTGGGGCTGAGAGAGCTCTCACAGAAACTGCTCTTTTCCAAGAACAGCTGTGCCAGAACTATGGCTTGCCCAAGGTCATCCAGCCGGGTGCAAGTGGAGGAGTGGGGAATCAAACCTGGTTCTCCCAGATTAGAGTCCGCGCACTTAACCACTACACCAAACTGGCTCTCAAGAGTTCCTTCTGAGCTGGGTTAAGAATAAATGTAAGTACTATGCAGAAGAATCTCCTTTGGGACATCTCAGGTGAGTTGGATGAAGGGTGATCAAAGAGAAAAACCACACCCTTCTCACTGGACCTTGTCAAAATCATTTTAATGTAGGAGGTATGGAGCTGGTTCAGCCCATGAATTCTTAGCCAACTGAAGGAGCACAAGAACCATAGGAAGTGCTACCTGGTCTTCAGTGTTAGGGGACTTTTGCTTTAGTTCATGTCCTAAGTTGCCATGTGGCTCAGTTTGAACGTCTTCTGATGGAGAGAGTACTGTTGCATCAGACACCAATAGAGTCCAAAGCCGTGTCCAATGTGTTGAAATCTGATGAATCATTTTCTCCTTAAAATGGAAGGCTTAAGGGACTTGTTGGACCCTGGTGGATCTGTCATTTTCATGTGCATTTCCCTGAGGATGTTTGAGGCTTTGGAGTCAGCTCTGTATTGTTGACACTGACACAGTTGCAGGTAATGCTCAGGCATGGAGGACCGAGGGTTGTGTAGTCTTAATGAGGGTATGGGTAAGAAATCCTAGCAGACTAAGTCAAATGATGGTGTTTGTAGTCTGAGTTCCAAGACCAAGGAGCATGCTGGTATTGAAAGGCCACGGAGGTATGAGGTGATCAATCCGAGGTCATGGAGTATTGAGTCCAGTATTGCTGTTTGTGCTCTCAGTAATAGGCAGGCTAGCATGGGAAGACCAGTTCAAAGGGATGCTAGGGATCCAGGCAATACTCATATTACTGAGACTCTTAATGTTGGCTCCAGAATTTGGAGAGGAACATTCAGAAGAGTCAAAGTACTGTCAGTGGGATGAGGATCTACCCCAAAGAGATACCAGCAAATATGGATCAGGGCAGCTGGTTACATCAGTGCTGGAGACTCTTCCAACTGCCTTTCAAAACCAATCACACAACCTCCACACCAAAGAAAGGTGCTCTGTTTGCCGACAGTGTTCTCAGAAGCAGGAGAATCTTTATGCTGATCTTTAGGATTATTTTCTAGTATTCTAGATTCTGTATTAAAGGTAAAGGTTCCCTTGCTCGAAAGCCAGTCGAATCCGACTCTAGGGTTGCGGTGCTCATCTCCGTTTCAAAGCCGAAGAGCCAGCGCTGTCCGAAGACGTTTCCGTGGTCATGTGGCCGGCATGACTAAACCCCAAGGCGCACGGAACGCTGTTACCTTCCCACCGAAGTGGTCCCTATTTATCTACTTGCAATTTCTTGCTTTCGAACTGCTAGGTTGGCATTAGGGGCTTCCAAAATATGTAGCACTCATTTCAGGAGTCAGGAGTGAGGGTGGTAGATGCTTCTGTTTGGAAGATGCTTCTTTTTTCCCTGTCTTCTTGTGTTCTCAAGGAGATAAGCTGGACATTTAAACTTTAGCTATCTCAGCTGCTCCTGGCTCAATACCAAGGTAGTCATTATTGATTGTTTTAAGATAGTGAAGCAGTAGAGCCATATCTGAATATTTCGTGCCAAATGTTCAGCTGCAGGCTCGGAGCCTGATGAAGCTCTCCCCCCAAGGGTAGCTTGGAGCCTGGTGGGCCGTTTGCCTGCTTAGTGAATTTGACACAATGGACACAAGTCTCAACTGAGTGCTATTCTTCAGGGTACAGGAGGTACCACTTGTGGCCATGAGTCAAAGGCTGCTTCCCCCCACATGTATGACTGCCGCAGCATCAAAGTGTCAAAGAATAACAGAGAGTGAATATAAAAAGTAGTAGCACTAGAAAGGATAAATAATTATGGTCTCCCTCTCTCTCTTGTACAGATTCGCCTCAGAGAATGAGACAGAAGAAAAATGCTCAAATGCTGTCTTTGTGGTGGATGAAAGAGAATTGTGAAGGAAGACATGACTCTTGGCATATACAGTTAAGGCTGTGCCTCTGTGGGGAGGATTCTGCACCTAAAACCCAGTTCTGGGAGTTTCTGAATCAAAGCTCTACACAGGCGAAAAGACTATCTGTGCGATACACAGATACCACAAAGAAGTAGCATGTTGTGTTATATATAATTACAAACTGGGAAACTGTGAGGAAAAAATTGAGAATTTCCCTCCTCTCAAAATCTCCCCCTCTCGGCTTCTCTAAGCCTTGAACAGGCTGATTTCTCTTCTCCCTTTCTTTCCTTTTGACGACCCTCAGCTGCGCTCAACCTTCTTCTGGAGCATATTTAGTCCTCTTCATGCCATATTTATTTGGGTTTTCCCCTCCCCCCATTGATTCATTTACCAAGTCATAATTTTCAGCATATCTGGGGAATATACTGATTAGACAGAGACCCCTGCTTTTCCCAAGGGTGGTTTAGTTTTGCAACTCGGGTCACCTGCGCTGAGGCCATTCGGTTTATTTGAAAAAGTGCACATACACACGAAAGCTCATGCCTTGAATCAACCTTTGTTGGTCTTAAAGGTGCCACCGGACTCTAAATTTGTTTCACATCGCCAAGATTATTGTCCTTCCGTGTATGCAGTAGGTGCAAGTGCCCCCTTAGCTTTACACATAAAATACTTTTTGAGCTTGGCACTCTCAAGTGGAGGCATAGGCACATGGAGATTTATATGATCACTCTGCCTCCATTAAAGTGGGTGGTGGTCACCCACCCAGATCCAGCACAGGCATGCCTAGGTCTACACACGGAGTACTCATCCAATGCCTTATATGAGGAGAAACGTTCCACCACTGAACAAGACCCCCAGTTAGTGAGTGTATGCAACCAGCTCACAGTATATGAGATGAGAGCAAAAACCAAGGACCAAGAAGAAACCTTAGAAAGGAAACCAATTTACAATTGCAGATACTTAAAACAGAGATAACTGCCTCTGAGTTACAGATTCTTAGGATTTCTTCTCACAGGCATCTATGCATTACAAAAAGTGCCCATTGATCTGTTGACCTCCCTCTTACATTATAACAGATGTGGACAACAGAATGTGTATACATTTGTGACAATCTCTTGTGAAAATTTGATGTAATGAACAAACTGGAGACTCATGGAAGGTGATCAGTGATCCATCAGTGTGAACACTGAGCTGCTAGCTAGGCAGTTGGCCAGGCACTGCAGGGCAAGTATGTCTTCTTGGCTGTTGTTCCCAGAAAGAGGCATTCTTGGACAAGCCATGTACCCATCACCTGGTCAGAGTGTGATTAATATTTCACTTACAGTGTGTATAAGGATGAACATCTAACCATGCACACAAACATCTACCCAGCAGAGCTACTACTATGTTGTGTAAATAGGGCTCTTCCATATCCTTTGTTGACGAAGCTCATTTGCTCAGAAAGACAGGGTTCACTACAAGCCCTTGCAAAATTTCCAGTGCAATGACCCAGTTGGCTCTGTGTCCTTTTGCAGAAGCATGATTTCTAAACATACAACAAAGGAAATTCTTGAAAGAACAATTTGGGATGTATATTGCCTTTATCTAGGTGTGACAATCTTCCCGTAGCGGTAACATTTGCTGCTAACACTATACAAAACTCTGCCATATGAGGAGAAAAATTTCCTCATCTAGCAAGGAAAATAAACCACATATATCTGGATTCATAATTTCATGTGGATTCAGTATACCTGAAACTTGTGCAGTAGCTAAAGTTCTTCCTGTGGGCGCAGGAGTGTCTGTGCATGTTTTTGTTGTCTCTGTAACTTTTTGGATTGGGATCAATGTTCTGCTAACACAATGGTTTGGGGACTTTCAGATTTCAGAGAATACTGGCAAAAGTGACTTGTATGTTCCAGAATCACTGTGCATGTTCTTGATACAACTAACACAATACCAATAAGTTAGTTTCTATAATCTACAGGGTTCCATTTTTGTCATGAACAGAGGAAATATTTTAATGCTATTCACAGTCTTTGGAAATCAAAAGAAAATATACAACTTAGTTTCCCTTCATTGTCAGAACCTGTTTCTGTTTGTATTGAAGTATTACACAAGTTGAAGTCTTTCATACCAAACAATTAGGGAAAAACAAGGAAAGACAAATTATGCCCAGGCTTTGCCAGAATAACTCAGTTAGGTGGAAGTTACCCAACATAGAGAATGACTGCTGAGTAGAAGCTTGATTGGGTTACTTTTCAGAATAATTTCCCAAAACAACAAGAACAAAAAACTGCAACTGAGCAACTGAAAACTGTATGATCTGTTTTCCCCTAAAAAATTAAAACCCCAAAATTAGAATAATAAAGTATGATCAGACAAAAAGCCTATTCTATTTTTTCTGTATTGAAAAGAGCACTTTTTGACTGTGTATTTTTGCGGTACATTTAAATTATAGCTTTAATAAAATATATCTTTAGGTCAAATGTTAGGGAAGTAAGTCATCAGTAGTAGGTCAAAGCATTCCACTTCCTGCTGTTGTTGCTTCTGATAATGAATGATTTATGGCGATCTGACTCTGATAGGCAATTGCATACAGTATTGATTTCATACTTCCAGTACATATATAAAGAAGAGAATGGGTAAACCAAACAAAACCAAAACATTCTTGTGCACAACCAAGTGTGAAGGTGTCCATCAGCTTTACAAGTTTGTGAGGTTTTTAGGCAAATTCAAGAAAAAGTAGCATTGCTGATGATCGTTTTTTTGTCTCTTCTCCTTATAATTCCTTTTCAAAATGGCAGCATGACAGATGACATTTTTATACCTCAAGCCAAAGAGAAATGCCCAGTCAGTCTCACTACAGAACCCACTAAACAATAAGTTAGTGTCAGAGTAAGTTTGCATCTTCAAAACCCTAGAGATTTGTGGAATGGGTCCAATAGGAAGGTTTGAACTGGGTTCATTTTAAATCAGGTGGAAATTGTTTGAGCTGCCCAGTTCTTTGTAAACATCCATGCAAACGCCATGGAAAAGTTCTCATAAATTGCATTTCATTTCCAGTTATCAACTTGGAGGAAGTTCCTAGAGGTAATTGTAGCTCAGACACTTCGTGGTGCTCTCTCAAATTCATGGGTCCTCCTATTTCTACCTTTCTTGTTCTCTTGTAGGTGCTTCCATTTGTTTGTATTCACTTGGGAATTGGTGGGCCTTTGCCGGCGCTGCTTGCGGTCCCTTCTCCACACCTGCTCACAGAACTCATCCATTGTGTTCAGATTGGGATGGTTGATGAGCTGCATGAAGTCTCTGTACCAGACCTTCTGGCTTGGGGTCATGCTGTTGGAAATCTCTTTGATCTTGGCACTGTCCCCATCTTCTTCTTTATGAAGCAGCTCCTCAAGGTGTTCTGTGTCTATAATCTCCAGGGTCACTTTAAGAAGTGTTTGCATGAAGCCGTGCTCTACAGCATGACACAAGTAAATGCCTGAATCTTTCCGCTGTAAGCTCCGTAGCAGGAGGCCTTGTTCTGTCCTGATTAAATGGTCATCTGCTTTGATCTGTGTGGGAGAAAAAGGTTTCAGCACAGAGTAGTACAGCAGGTGGTGATGTATTGAGAAGTCCTGGATTCACAACCTACTAAGTGATGAAGCTCACCGGAAATGTCACTTTCTGTCAGCATAATAAAGCTGTCTTGTAATGAAATATTGCCCTTTTTGGAAGGAAAATACTGCTGGGGGGGGGACAAACTGGCTCCTTGTAATGCCAGTTCCCTTCTGCACCATTGCCAACCCCAGAGGAAATCAGTGTGTTTCTTGCAATGGTGTTGGACCACAGGGGAAGGTCCTGGGGTAGAAGCCTGCCACTTTCCACCCTCTTATCCAAGTGGCTTTCCAGCTACATGAATTTTTAACCAGGGGTACACATAATCAGATATAGTTTTCCAAAGTAGACTGTTTTATATGTTCTTCTTCAGGTCACATTATAAATAATTTTTTGAGTCAAAATTATCCATCAGGCTACAGAGTAACAAATCCTGTCCATACTATGCCACAAGGTTTCTCAACATAATCTATACTTTCCATTCTTAGAAAAGTTCCTACTGATGGTGATCTATGGGGAAAAAAAAGCTGCTATAAGACTTTTGAATGTGGATGCAGAGTTAAAACTATAATCTGAGATAAATATGCCCTTCAAATCTTTAGTACAATCTACCATTTATTTCCAACTTCTACTGTTTCACCAAGTTCTGGTCTTCTTTTCCTTTTTTTCCTTCCCTCTTGTGTTCTCTCAGTTTAGGGGAAGCTGTCTAGCCAGCAGAGGAAAACTTATTTTGTTTCAAATGAAGTGAGAAAGGGACTCTGTTTGCTGTTAGGACATCTACATTTCTACTACATTCCTACATTCCTTTGCACATCTGGGGAAATGAAATGCATAACCTTTTTGTATACACAACTGCTTAAGTGAGAGAGGGCATGTACCATTCCCTTTTTAACAGTATCCACCAATATAGACCAGGAATACTTTTTGATTCCATGGAAATATAAAAAGGACTTCTTAAGAACTTCAGTTTTGCTGTTAGTAGGAATGATTGTAAAATCCAGCTCCGTTGGGTTTTGCAACTGAAATGGCTCCCCATTCCTTCAGAATGAATGCTGGATCAGATCCCATTCCAAGGGATTTCTGATGAGAACTTTGACCAAGTGTGAGTCTTGGGCTCAGCCCTGGCCCCTAGAGATGTTTCTGTCAGTCCTGTAGCACTCTGAGAGCCCAAAAGTACACACTTTTGGCTCACAGCAGCACTTCAACCTCCACTGACAGCTGGTCTAGATAATGCCTAGCATTGAATCTGCACCTGGGTTTTACTGCTTCAGGCAGCTCCTCCCCCCAAATTCCACATTAAAAAACCTAGGTGTCAGGAAGCAGAGTGCAAGCTTAGCCTTCCCACTAACACACATGCTAGTGTTCTGTCTGTAGGAAATTTTTCTCTCTGGCGGATTGTTCCATCCAGATATAGGTTTACCGTCTCACTGAGAATTAGGTCTGAGATACTGAGTTGTGGCCCTGTAAATCTGCAGTTAAAGTCTAAAAGCTATATTGGAACCTAACAGTGACAACATCTAGAGGGCATACCTCTTCCTTGAGGTCCTCATTCTGCTTCTGGAACTGCCAATAAACCACAGCATGTTGAGATTTTGGACTGCACTCCAGGAAAGTACTACTGTTCTCTACTCCATAGATAATCTTCTCTTCAAGCCCATGTCCACTTGGATTATCTGCAAAGAACGAGGAAGGAAATATATATAACTTAAACATAACCAGAAGGCAGTGTATCCCTTCAGTAGGAAGTAAGCTAAAGGAGTTGTGCAACTGTGGGCTTTTCTACACTCTCATTTTACTCACTGATAAGTTCCTGTTTTGTTGGGGTTTTTTTCTTTCTGTTCCATATGTGTTTGGCTCCCTCTGGAGGTTGATTTAATATCACACAGTTTTTTCCCCAGCATAAAAATCTGCAGTTTAAATCTGCAGGGAGATATGCTGGGGGGGAAAGTTGTGTGATATCGAATCAACCACTAGAGGGGCAAAACATGTGCAGAACAGAACCCCAGTCCCTGAAGAAACAGGAACTGACCAGTGAGTAAAATAAGAATGTGAAAAAGCCCTGCCACCAGATTCCCCAGTTAAGAGGTTGCCAGAGTGTCTCAGGTAGCCAATTGGAAGAAGAATCTGGAAAACCCAAATGGAGGTGAATGGCAATTTCACAGTGGCAGGTCAGTGTCATGCTGTCTATAGTAAACCTTGCAAATAACACAATTTTAAAAAAAATATTACTTGGATGTTGGAGACATAAGCATTATTAACAATTAGGAGTAAGGCCCATTGTGGGAAGAAATACAACGAGCTCTAGAAAGAGGCTCCAGCTGAGTGTTCCAGCTGTGGCTGGTGGGGTGGCAGAAGGAAGGGGGAAATAGAGGGAGGTGAGCCATGTTTATTCCCTTCTGCTTAGCTATAAGGTAAGGCTGTCTGTGGCTCAGATCATGAGCTACTCATTGCAAAATTCAGACTTAAACTGAAGAAAATCGGGAAAACCACGAGGCCATCCAGGTTTAACCTAGATCGCATCCCTGATGAATATACAGTAGAGGTGAAGAATAGATTCAAGGGTCTGGATTTGATAGATAGAGTGCCTGAAGAACTATGGACCGAGGTTCGTGACATTGTACAGGAAGCAGCAATCACCACCATCCCAAAGAAAAAGAAATGCAAGAAAGCAAAGTGGCTTTCTGATGAGGCTTTACAAATAGCAGAGGAAAGAAGGAAAGCGAAAGGCAAAGGCGAAAAGGAAAGATTTACCCAACTGAATGCAGATTTCCAGAGAACAGCAAGGAGAGATAAGGAGGCCTTCCTGAATGAACAGTGCAAAGTAATAGAAGAAAACAATAGAATGGGAAGGACTAGAGATCTCTTCAAGAAAATTGGAGAAATCAAGGGAGCGTTCCATGCAAAGATGGCCATGATAAAGGACAAAAACGGTAGGGACCTAACAGAAGCAGAAGAGATTAGGAAAAGATGGCAAGAATACACAGAAGAACTATACAAGAAAGACCTCGATGTCCTTGACAACCACGACGGTATAATCACTGACCTCGAGCCAGACATCCTGGAATGTGAAGTTAAATGGGCCTTAGAAAGCATTGCTAACAACAAAGCTAGTGGAGGTGATGGTATTCCAGCTGAGCTATTCAAAGTCTTAGAAGATGATGCTGTTAAAGTGCTGCACTCCATTTGCCAGCAAATTTGGAAAACGCAACAGTGGCCACAGGATTGGAAAAGGTCAGTATACATTCCAATCCCAAAGAAGGGCAACGCCAAGGAATGTTCAAACTATCGCACAATTGCACTCATATCACACGCTAGCAAGGTCATGCTCAAGATCCTACAAGCTAGGCTTCAACAGTACGTGGATAGAGAACTACCAGAAGTACAAGCTGGGTTTCGAAGAGGTAGAGGAACTAGAGATCAAATTGCCAACATTCGCTGGATTATGGAGAAAGCAAGAGAGTACCAGAAAAATATCTACTTCTGCTTCATTGACTATGCTAAAGCCTTTGACTGTGTGGATCACAACAAACTATGGCAGGGCCTTAAAGAGATGGGAGTACCAGACCACCTCACATGTCTCTTGAGAAACCTGTATAAGGGCCAAGAAGCGACAGTTAGAACCGGATATGGAACAACTGATTGGTTCAGCATAGGAAAAGGAGTACGACAAGGATGTATATTGTCACCTTGCTTATTTAATATATATGCAGAGTACATCATGCGAAATGCTGGCCTGGATGAATCACAAGCGGGAATTAAGATTGCTGGGGAAAAGATCAACAACCTCAGATATGCAGATGATACCACTCTAATGGCTGAAAGTGAAGAGGATCTAAAGAGCCTCTTGCTCAGAGTAAAAGAGGAGAGCGCAAAAGTGGGCTTGAAGCTCAACATCAAAAAAACTAAGATCATGGCATCCGGCCCCATCACTCCTTGGCAAATAGAAGGGGAAGTCGTGGAAGTAGTGACAGACTTCACGTTCCTGGGATCCCAGATTACCGCAGACTGTGACTGCAGCCATGAAATTAAAAGACGCCTGCTCCTTGGGAGGAAAGCGATGGCGAACCTAAACAGCATGATAAAAAGTAGAGACATCACCCTGCCATCAAAAGTCCGCATGGTCAAAGCAATGGTATTCCCAGTAGTCATGTATGGCTGCGAGAGTTGGACTATAAGGAAGGCCGAGCGCCGAAGAATAGATTCTTTTGAACTATGGTGCTGGAGAAGACTTTTGAGAGTCCCTTGGACTGCAAAAAGATCAAATCAGTCAATCCTAAAAGAAATCAACCCTGACTGTTCCCTGGAAGGCCAGATAATGAAACTGAAGCTCAAATACTTTGGCCACCAAATGAGAAGGGAGCACTCCCTGGAGAAGACCCTGATGCTGGGAAAGATTGAAGGTCAAAGAAGACGGGGACGGCAAAGGATGAGATGGTTAGACAGTGTCATCGATGCAACAAACATGAAATTGAGCCAACTTCAGAGGACGGCGGAAGACAGGAGGGCCTGGCGGGAGCTGGTCCATGGGGTCGCGAAGAGTCGGACTCGACTGTGCGACTGAACAACAACAACAACAAAGGCTGTCTCAAGTCATTTTGCTGCCCCAAATGGGTAGTATGGGAGGAGAGCCGCATGCCTCGTTTTCTGGGTTTCAAGGGTCTGGAAAGTGGTTCCATAGCCAGTTACATGGTTGCCAACTCTGGGTTGGGAAATACCTGTAGATTTGAGGGGTAGTGCCCGGGGAGGGCAGGGTTTGGGGTGGGGAGGGACCTCAGTAGGGTATAATGCCATAGAGCCCAATGCCTGAAGCAGCTATTTTCTCCAGTAGAACTGAGCTTGGGGATCTCCAGGTGCTGCTTGGTGGTTGGCAATACTAAGGGAAGGGCCAGTTTTGTTGAAGGACTTCAGTGAGGTATAATGCCATAGAGCTCACCCTCCAAAAGCAATAATTTCCTCCATGGGGACTGATCTCTGTAGTTTGGAGATCAATTGTAATTCAGAGATATGTCCAGGACTTCTCTCTCCTCCCCCTTCAATTCCAAAGCCGCTTCCTGTTTAACACTTTAACTGATTAACAATTTAACTGACTCCCTGGTAATGCCCCACAGCCTCTTGGGACTCCCAGCTTGGGAGTTGTAGTTCTAATTCCCTTTGCTATGGTTGCAGTAAGGCCAGCTGAGAACTACAACCCCCAAGGAGCAACACATCAAAAGTGGGGGTGTAAGAACGGAGGAGGTGGTGGGACGAGTCCACAGGACACCGAGGCAGCTTCCCCAGTGGCCAGTGGGAGAGTAGAGTAGGTGAGTCATCGTCAGCACGCCTTGCCTTTTATACATATAGGATTCTTTGGTACATAAGCTTAACATGAATTTGTCTCTCTTTAATTACATGATAAAATTTCCAGCATACACTCCAATGCAAAGAAATATCCTGTTTGACTCAGCCTAGCTGCTAATTCTATGTAGTAAATAATCATAAAACAAAAGTCCAACCAGTCACAAGGAAGGAAGGGAACAAAGCGATCAAAAGCCAATTAAAGGCAAAAACACACAATTCCCCCACGGATTTCCCTGAACCAAAGTCTCATCAGTGCTGGGTCATGTCACCCTAGAAACTGTAACTGATTCAAGACTTTAGTTGCTGTAGATTTTCCGGGTTGCGTGGCCGTGGTCTTGGCATTGTAGAACCTGACGTTTCGCCAGTAGCTGTGATTGGCATCCTCAGAGGTATAACACAGTGTTATATCTCTGTGTTATATCTCTGAGGATGCCAGTCACAGCTACTGGCGAAACGTCAGGTTCTACAATGCCAAGACCACGGCCACACAACCCGGAACATCTACAGCAACTAATGAACTCCAGCCGTGAAAGCCTTCGGCAACATATTGATTCAAGACTGATCTAAGTCTTGCCTGGGTGGCCTGTTTCCCAGCAGAACCCATTTAAAAACTTATCACCTGTAAAAGCCACCCCTTTATGTATCTACAGGTCCCCAAAAGGTGTCCCCTTAAGGGTTCTCGGTGACTAACATTGATATTCAACAGATATATGGCACAGATGTGTACAGTTGTGGGGCATAGATATGTGTAATACAGAATGACTGTATATGGATGTGTAGTATAGGTATATGCTGTATTGCAAAAGGATTTCAAATGGATGAATCATAGAAGCCTAAAATTGGAAGGACCCATAGAGGTCATCTAGTTCACCCCCTGTGCAATGCAAGATCAGCCTAAATCAACCCTGATAGGTGTTTGTCCAGCCACTGCAAGTGAGGGGGAGCCCACCACCTCCCTAGGAAACTGACTATACTGCTGAACTACTCTTACTGTAATCCCCCCCTAATATCCAGCCAGTACCTTTCCTCCCATAACATAAAGCCATTCTTGCAAGTCCTATCCTTTGCTGCCAACAGGAACAGCTCCCTGCCCTCCTATAAGTGACAGTCTTGCAAATACTTGAAGAGAGCAATCATGTCCCTCCTCAACTGCCTCTTCTCCAGACTAAACATTCCCAAGTCCCTCAGCCTTTCCTCATAGGACTTGGTCTCCAGGCCCCCGATCATCCTCATTGCTCTCCTCTGCACCTGCTCCATTCTGTTTACATGCTTTGTGAAGTGAGGCCTCCAGAGCTGCACACAGTACTCCAGATGTGGCCTGACCAATGTGGTATAC